ATGTTGAATCACCCTAGGAAGTATAGGCTGCCAATGTGATGTTGAATCACCCCAGGAAGTATAAGCTGTCAGTGTAATGTTGAATCACCCTAGGAAGTATAGGCTGTCAGTGTGATGTTAAATCACCCTAGGAAGTATAGGCTGCCAATGTGATGTTGAATCACCCTAGGAAGTATAGGCTGTCAGTGTAATGTTGAATCACCCTAGGAAGTATAGGCTGTCAGTGTAATGTTGAATCACCCTAGGAAGTATAGGCTGCCAATGTGATGTTGAATAACCCTAGGAAGTATGGGCTGCAGCGTGATGTTGAATCACCTTAGGAAGTATGGGCTGCCAGCGTGATGTTGAATCACTCTAGGAAGTATAGGCTGCCAATGTGATGTTGATGTTGAATCACCCTAAGAAGTATAGGCTGCCAGTGTGATGTTGAATCACCCCAGGAAGTATGTGCTTTCAGCGTGATGTTGAATTCCCCTAGGAAGTATGGGCTGCCAGTGTAATGTTGAATCACCCTAGGAAGTATGGGCTGCCAGTATAATGTTGAATCACCCTAGGAAGTATAGGCTGCCAGTGTGATGTTGAATCACCCCAGGAAGTATGTGCTTCCAGCGTGATGTTGAATTTCCCTAGGAAGTATGGGCTGCCAGTGTAATGTTGAATCACCCTAGGAAGTATGGGCTGCCAGTGTAATGTTGAATCACCCTAGGAAGTATAGGCTGCCAATGTGATATTGATGTTGAATCACCTGTCCAGGGCCAATTAGTGTAACAAAATGTTAGCCTAGCATCATATGCCAGAAAGACCATTACTTTACTCGTACACCTTCCCTTAACTGCAAGCACTGTCATTGAAGCCTTGGTCTGCTTCTTCTCCATCTGGTCTGTGGTCGGCTTGGCTGGGTTCCACTCATACCTGACCGCATCTGAGCTCACCACCAATGAAGATGTAAGTATTAATTGTTTGGTTTCATTTTTGTTTGTTTTGTTTTGGGGTTGGTGATTTCATTGTACTTGGATAACTCCATGAGTGGTCCAGTCAGTTCTCAGCTCCAGTAGAAGAATAAGACCCTGCCATAACTGTAGAAAAGAAAGTACTTTTGTCTTATGAGGCCCCTTCCTCATTAGCAAATAAGTGTGTGTGTATGTATATATGAGTGTGTGTATGTTTATTTATGAGTGTATATGTGTGTGTCCAGGATTCACAGCCATATGGCTGTGAATCCTGGACAATCGGTAGGCAGGCCAAACAATTTCTTGAGGCCTCAGAGATGTGGTTTTAGAGAAGAATGTTTAGAATACCTTGGACAGCCAAAAAGAGCAACCAAGAGGTTTTGAAAGAGGCGGGAGCCCGAAGACAACTTATCACAGACATCAGAAGCAGACAGTCATCATTTTTCGGTCATGTTATGAGAAGAGGGAAAATAGAACATGTTGTGACCACTGGGAAGATCTGTGGAAGGAGGGATAGAGGAAGACAACGAGAGAAGATTCTTGACAGCCTTTTTGCAATTCATAGAGGTGTGTCGGCACGTGAGCTGATACATTCTGCAGGAGATCGTGAATTGTGGAGAGGCATGATCGCCCACACCAGTTGGCAAGGCACTTGATGATGATATGTGTGTGTATGTACTTGTGAGTGTCAATGTGTGGATTCTATATTTAAGAATGTGAATGTGAAAAGTATGCAGATGTGATTTGTTTGTATGCATGAGTGGGAATACTAGAGTGTGTATGAGTATATCTATGTGTGAGTGTAATTTTCTGTGAGTATGCCTATGTGTACAGGTGCCTGTGATTATGTGTGTGCATGATTGTGAATGTGCATATGTGCATTTATGTATACATTTACCACCCATTCATTGTGTTTTTACTTTATACTTATGTATTTTTTCTGTATAAACATAACAGTCTGATATATAAAAATACATTTGGTGTATGATAGATGATTTTTAGGAAGGGCCAGTTGGGAGATGTGCCTGACTGGCCAGTTTGTGACCATTTTAAAAGTCTGTTTCTTATTTATTTATTTATTTGATCTGACCATCTGTATATCTATCTGATAAAGTACATTTGCCATGTGAAAGAGGTGTGTTTGGAAGGAATACATCTAATAAGGCCTTTGTGCCCAATTTGTCAATCTTTGGAAATAAAGTTTATTCGTTTGTTCGCTGACTTTCCCTCATAATGGCTGAACATAGTTTTAAAATATAATTTCTTCATGCGTTCTTTCATACTTGTCTGCTACCCACTTTATACTTGTCTGCTACCCACTTTATAAAGTTTTGTTTAGAAATTTGTACAAAGATGTACAAAGCGAGTAATCCTTAAACAAGAACAGATTTTAAGTGATAAATGGAATACATCCCAGGGGACAAAAACAAATATGTAGCGACTCTTGCTGTGAACCCCTGACCTCTATCACTGGGGCTTACAGGAAAATTTAAGTTAACCTGGCTTTAAAAAAGCCACTGTAGACACTTGGAAACCTCTTTAAAAGCTATATTTAGTTAATATATTCACATCTGAGCCTCCTCAACACTACACTGGTTCACAAATAACCAGTGGCATTTAACATGCTTTTTGAGTACAGGTCACTGCAGAAATGGCTGTTTTTTGGTATTTATGGTACTGTATCACCACTAGGATGGGTCAGTAATTAGGGGCAAGCGAAGTGCATGGGCCTTCACAGTAAGCTCAGGGGGAAGACCATCAAGGAGATGAATGGTGCCTTTGCTGTTACAACTAGTAGCCTTACAATGGAAACTATAGCTGTAACAAGGACTTTAGCATGGCTTGGTACTCAAAAGTTCACCCACGTATGCTTTCTTAGTGACTCGATGAATATGCTTTAAAAAATCCAAGCTGGATTTATCAGGCAAGAATGGATTGAAACACAAAGCACTTCACGAATATCTGCCCTTACCTTCATCTTTGTGCCAGGTCATGCGGGTGTTCAAGGGAACGAGCGTGCAGACTATCTTGCTGACACTGCAGTTGCTATGGCTGGCCCAGGACTGGACAGAAGTGATGTTATCAATTCCATGCGCTGCACTTACCGTACCGAGGAGCACGCCAAAGGACATGACTCCATATGCCTGTCTAGACTGATGGACATGGGGGTGCAGCCTGGAGCTGCAAGAAATGAACATTTCACTAAGTGGACAAGAGGTTTCATTAACCAACATAGAACAGGCATCATCAGTCATTTTACACTTGTGGAGCTTTTGAGGAGGAGATCGGAGCACCTATGGATCTGTCCGGAGTCCTGTGATGATAATCTTTTCTAATCACTAATCACCACTAGGAGCGACTAAATTTAGTCTTCTCCAACGAAAGTGTTATAAAAACTTCTGAAGTGTGCACTAAACTCCTGAGCACTAATTTAGTAAATTAGTGCACTTGTTGCAAGGCCATCTAATCCAGTTCATTTCATTGGTAATATGAAGTATGCTTATGAGAAAAAATATAGTATTTTTTTATGAGTTTGATTTTCCATTCGTATTTGGGTGGGGGTGGTGGGAGTGTTGTTTACACAATTTATCCCGCCTACAGTGAAGCCAACTTGAATGTTATCATTCCTTCTGTCTTTGTAAAGATTTGTTTGAAGCTAAAAAAAGTCCAAAAATATACTTCTTTATGTGTTTCTGCTTTCATGCTGTTTTCCTTTTTCCCAACCTTTTATCCACAATTATTGAGTTTATTTTCTGCTTCGGTTGACAGAAAGAGGTAAACGACAGTGATTAATGACTTTTCAGAGTTTTATTCTCATTTATTTATGAACACTGTCTCTTCATAGCCAAAGTTTGGCCAGAGGACATGAATATGTCCAGCTAGAATTCATTTCAAGCGGCGTTGTATTGCATTGAAAAAAATAATATCTCATTTTATTAACGTCATCAGGGATTTTAAGGAACATGTACGCAATGATTTGTTGATGTTGAATATTTTTGTTTGGCCAGCTGTTTAATTTATTCACAAAATAATTATCAAGAAAGGTAGAAAAGATATCAGAAGGCAGATGGGCCAGTGTTGAACTGCTTTAAGTTTTTCAGACCCTAACGTGTAATGTAGGGGCTACCGTTGTGTAGCAGCTAATCTCGCTTGTGGATCTTAAGGTGATGGGTTGAAATCTGCATGGAGCCGGAATTTTTTTCAAACAATGCCTTGGCTTCAGGGTTGACCCAGCCTTAACAGAGCACCAGGTAAGTCCCTGAGAAGTAAAGGTGGCCGGCATAATGTTGAGAATGAGCCTAGCCTGATGGGCCACTGGCATGTTTAGGGATCTTTATTTTTTTTAAACTTTGAACAGGTAATATGAGATGGGCTCCTTCCCAAAAATTTAATCTATTTTATGATGAGTTCTCTTTTTATATTTAGTATTCATCCTACAGAAATCTGGCTACTTCCACTCTAGATATGTTTGCACTCCCTGCCCCCCAGATAATACTATTTATTACATTGTGCTATAGGCAGGCATGTTTGTTGTATTTTGAATAAAGAATCGACATCACAGCACTTGGGACACTCCCATAAGTGCTCAGTTCCCACCTTCAGCAGCAAGCAAAGAGTTCCAATTCCAATTGTACCAGTAACCATCTGATTGTATATCTGTCTCATCCTTTCCCTGAGTGTTGAGCATTTTCCAGATCCTCTGGTAACTCCTTGCAGTGCCATTCTCCTTAGACCCTAATGATTTATCTGCACCTCTGCACTGTTGACTATCTCCCAAAGGCAGGCATGATAGTCACAAGACAGAAATATTGGAAATATCTTAGTATATTTACGTTTAGTGAAAGCTTTCAAGGGAACTAAAGAGTAATTTGAAAAGGCTTATAGAGAGAGAGAGAGAACATGGGGTAAGCTGCATGCTTTGCAAAGAATAGGACCACATAATGTGAGTGAGTTTAGAGCCTATGCACCATTGGGGAATTAGGGCAGAAGAAGAAGAAATTGTTATTTCAGTTAAGGGTTATTTTAAAGAACTTTTTGTTGTCTCTTCAGATCAAAGGTACATTCACAGCCAAACGTGGCCAGGAAAATTTCAACCCTTTCAGTCAAGGGTCCTTGCTTAAAAATTGTATGGGTGTTTTGTGTGGCCCTACACCCCCAAGGTAGGTCATCCTTTGGTTTTCAGGATACTTTCTTATACGGTATGCTGCTAGAGTGGGATGTTGCAGTGTGCTGTTGCAATGGGATGTTATGTAATTGTGCTGTTGGAGTGGTATGTTATGGAGGTGTGCTGTTGGAGTGGTATGTTATGGAGGTGTTCTGTTGGAGTGGTATGTTTTGTAAGTGTGTTGTTGGAGTGGTTTATCATTATGTAGGTGTGCTGTTGGAGTGGTATATCATTATGGAGGTGGGCTGTTGGAGTGGTATGTTTTGGAGGTGTGCTGTTGGGGTGGTATATCATTATGGAGGTGTGCTGTTAGATAGGTATGTTTTGTAAGTGTGTTGTTGGAGTGGTATGTTATGTAGGTGTGCTGTTGGAGTGGTAGGTTATGTAGGTGTGCTGTTGGAGTGGTATGTTATGGAGGTGTGCTGTTGGAGTTTTATGCTATGGAGTTGTGCTGTTAAAATGAGGTATCATGGGGTTGTGCTGTTTTAGGGATATTTTATTAGAATATGCTGTTGTGGGAATGTGTTGTTGCAGAAGATTGACCACTAAACATTGTGGCTGTGAAACAGGGACATCAATGGCTGAATTTGAAATGAAAATGCAAGCATTGGAAATGCAGTTTTTAAGAAAAAAAAAATTCATAGCTTACAGTGGCCATATCTCAAATAATGAGGTTAGCTGTAGAATTATCCAACACATTAGCAACTATGAACCTATTTTAACTACAGTGAAAAAGCCAAAAAAATGCAATGCTTCTTCTTCTCTTTTTCTGCCTTTCTATCCCCAAATGGAGCATAGGCCCTCAACCAACTCACGCCAAGTCGTTCTATCCTTCGCCATTGCATGGAGCTCTCCCCATGTCCTCCCAATCTTTCTAACCTCATTCTCCAGCTCTCTTCTCCCTGTGTTTTTTGGCCTTCTTTTATTCCTATGTCCCTGTGGGTTCCAATGCAAAGACATTCTAGTTATGCTGTTCTCCTGTTTTCTCAGTGTGTGCCCTATCCAACGTCAGCGTCTTTTCCTCACCTCCTGATCCACTGGAGCCTGTTTAGTTCTCTCCTAAAGTTCTACATTAGTTATTCTATCATACCATTTTATTCCCTCTATTCTGCGCAGGTACCAGTTAATAAATGTCTGTAATTTATTAGTAATTGCCTTGGTTGTTCTCCATGTTTCTGCCCCATACAATAATACTGATTTGACATTAGAATTTAAAATTTTTAGTTTAGTATTTCTTTTAATTTCTTTTGACCTCCACAAATTCCCTAGTGCTATGAAAGCCCCTCTTGCCTTTTGTATTTTTATTTTAATATCAATCAGTTCCTCCATCTTTATCTACATTACTGCCTAAATAGGTGTACGACTTCACGTCTTGGAGTGGGGTGCCATTAAGAGAAACCACATTACTATTTGCCTGATTATTCTCATTATCTTTGTCTTTCCTTTATGGATTTTCAGACCAAGCTGCTGTGATCTCGCATTAAGTATATTTAATTTATCTTGCATCTGATTCCGTGAATGGGATAGAAGAGCAATATCATCAGCGAAGTCCAGATCATCAAGCTGTTTTGTAGGGGTCCACTGAATTCCATTCTTGGTGTTAGCAGTTAACTGTTTTTATAGTCCAGTCTATAGCCAGTAAAAATAAGAGAGGCGACAAAAGACATCCCTGTTTGACCGAAAACCTGCCTGCTCATCTCTTAGCATTTTATCAATAGCATCTTTTAATCTTTCCAAAATAATTCTACTTAATATTTTTCCAGGAACTGACAGCAACATAATTCCTCTATAGTTTTCACACTCCTGTAGATCACATTTTTTGGGCAGTTTCACATGATATCCTTCTCTCCAGTCTGCTAGTATTTCTTCGGTCTCCCAGACTTTACTGAATAATCTATGTAGCAATTCTGTTGATGTATTTATGTTGGTCCTGTCGCCTTTCCTTCCTTGAGAAAATTTATAGCTTTTCTAATTTCCTCTTTGGATGGTATCTCACAGTTGATATCCAGTTCCATTTCTAAAGGCTGGATATCTGGGGGAACCACTGGGCCTGGTCTATTTAGAAGCATTTCAAAATATTCAACCCATCTGTCCATTTGATCTTTAGTGTTAGTAAGTACCTTTCCTTGACTATTTTTGGTTGATCCAGTTGGCTGACTATATTTAAAAAAAAAAGTAAAGTTCCCTTTTCACGCCTTTCGGCGCATCGGGCATATGGGCAGAGCGTCCCATATTTTTACAGACCATCAGCACTCTGTGGGTAATGTGGTCAGCATTACGCCGGCTGTCTTTACTTTCCCAGGACAGCCCATATGACTATATTTACCTACTAATTTTCTTGTGTTACTGTAAAGTTCTCTGAGGTTTCCTTTTGCTGCTGCTGTCCCTGCTTCTTGTGCTAGATCATTTAAAATGAAATGCTAAGGACATGTAAATAGATCTAACGGCTTCTTTAAAACAATACTACACGGCTCAGTAGAGGAGAAGAGGCAGACCAACAAAGACCAGGCTAGAGAACCTGACTGACTGGACAAGCCTTAGGCATGCAACCATGAAGTCCATTGCCTGTGACTGTTAAAGGTTTAGGGATCTGATCAGACAGTCAACAGCAACTGGTGACCCAATTACACACAGTGTTATGGGAGGATGATGATGATGATGATGGGCTTATATAACAGTGTATTGAAAATACTAGGGTGGCCTTTCACTGTTGACAAGTTTTAGTTTGTTTTTAACAACCCTTTTGTCGTTTCAAGTCTCTCCAGGATTTGTGTATTTGATCAGTTTTGTTTCTGTGAAGTGTAACCCGTGTTTCAGCACATTCGCATCAACACTGACGTTGATGGGTGATTCATCATCATCCTACTGTGCTGTTAATATGTCACTAGGGCTCTATTTCTCCATTCTGTTCTATCCTTTACAATCTTTTGGATATCATAAATCACATCTATTCAGATTCTTGAACAAGACAGTCCAGAACTGGGCGGACAACCAGAACTTTCCACCGGAGTTTACAGCCGGTGAACACTAAGAAGAAGAAGATAGATCATCATCATCATCAGGTGCCTTGCCAACTGGCGTGGGCGATCATGCCTCTCCATAATCTGCGATCTCCTGCATGTATCAGTTTGTGTGCAGTCACACCTCCATGCCATGCAACAAGACTGTCAAGCACCTTCTCTCGTTGTCTTTCTCTAACCCTCTTTCCACAGATCTTTCCAGTGGTCACAACATGTTCTAGTTTCCCTCTTCTCATAACAGGACTGAAAAATGATGACTGTCTCCTTCTGATGTCTGTGATAAGTTGTCTTCGGGCTCCCGCCACTTTCAAAACCTCTTGGTTGCTCGTTTTAGCTGTCCAAGGTATTCTAAGCATTCTTCTTCTTCTAGATTGACTCCTAATACATTTATTTGTTAATTGATCTTTCACAGTTTGATAGATCGACGAGGGATTGTGACTCAAGACCCAGAGCCAGAATCACATGTAAGTCCTGTTCAGTCAGAGAAAGAGAGTAACGCGGTCAGTGCTCACCATGAGTATTACGGCTCCACAAACATCACAACGCAGAAAGTAGGTCATGTTGTGGTGGCTTGCACATCTTTCGGTGTTGCCTCCCCCCTCATGCGCATGAGACCGCTTTTCTGTTCTGGTGTTCACATGGACATTGTGGCTACACCCCATTTTCACTTTTTTCCTTTCGTCGACCATAGTGTGTTTCGAAAAATATGACCTGTTCAGTCATAGTTTAATTTAAGCTAATATAGACTGATTTGTATTCCTCAATTTTTTTTTTAAAGAAGTAATAGTTTCCACACAGGTAATCAATGTAGAATAATTTATTGTATTGAGAGCATATTTTTTAAATTAACTTTCTTCTGTTATCTTTGAAACGGTAGACTTTATTTGTTTAAAACAGGGATTTCAATGCAGACTGTTATTATTTTCAGGGACTTCACTGTAAACGATTATGACTTTACATGATTTTCGCTATAAGCAGTTATGATTTTACTGAATTTTCACTGTAAATGGTTATGATTTTACTGTATTTACCACTTGTATGGTTAGGCATAGGTCTGTGAGGATTGAGGGCCACGTGGCTAGTGTAGTTGCTGTGCACTGTGCAGGTTAGGATTTCATTTCCGCCACCCAAATAAAAACCATTATCCTCACTGAGGATTTGAACCTGTCTCCCACATGAAAGCCCCACATTCTTAACCATTTGGCCGGCCACTCCTAGTTTTACTGAATATTGTTGTTTATATACACATGTATGTTCACATCTATAAAGGAGGTTGTATACTACTTAGATCGTGGCACATACTCACAGTATTTTGTGTTTCTCTGTTGTGCAGTATTGTACTTTGGTGTTTCTTGCACACCACTGATATGTGTACTCACCATTGAAAAACACTGGTTAACTCTTTTAGCCTCAGAACTATTCACAACAGTTGTTTATAGAGGAGAGAAATGGACACTGTGAGAAATCATGAGTATACAAATTTTTAGCAGGCAACTGGAAATGCCAGATTTCTTTAGTATTTTATATATGCAAAAAGTAACAGAACATATTGCATAATGTTTGGGATTTATGAGAACTAGTTTATGATGCCCTGCTTGGGACTGAAAGGGTTAAAATTCTGTTGCTCTCTAAGTGCGCGCACGTGCACACATGCACCCACGCACACACACACACAAAATGCATCACATAAAGTGTTGTTTGTCAGTATTTCTGTTACTTTTATTTTCATTGATGAGTTAATTATTGTGTTGCATGTTCTAAATATTTCCTTCTTTTATTGTATGGACATAGAAATCCTGGGTTATCGTATGTCTACCTGATTTCAGTATGCGTCAGTGTTGGTAATAGGGAGGGCATAGGTTCTCCTTAATTTTCTTTCTTTTATACTTTCATTTTTTTTTCTTCTGATCAGACTAATTTGTTTCCTTGGGAAAACTTAAGTATTCGGTAAATGCAGTCTGTATTCCACTTCCACTTCCAAATGGGCCTCAGTTTGAATAATGGGAAGACAGAAGTAATGGTGGTATCAAAGAAACAAATTATTCCTAAATGTGTAATAAAAGTCAATGGTGTTATTTTAAGACAAGTACAGAAATTTAAGTATCTGGGCACATGGATAACATCAGATGGAAGATGCATAACTGAAATAAGAAACAGAATTGGACAGGCAAAAACTGCATTTTATAAAATGAAAAACATCTTGTGCAATATATCCTTGTCATTGAGAGTTAGAAAAAGAATTCTTGCTTGCTACATACATCCAGTTTTAACATGGATGTGAATCCTGGACAATCGGTAGGCAGGCCAAACAATTTTTAGAGGCCTCAGAGATGTGGTTTTACAGAAGAATGCTTAGAATACCTTGGACAGCCAAAAAGAGCAACCAAGAGGTTTTAAAAGAGGCGGGAGACCGAAGACAACTTATCACTGACATCAGAAGGAGACAGTCATCATTTTTCGGCCATGTTATGAGAAGAGGGAAAATAGAACATGTTGTGACCACTGGAAAGATCTGTGGAAGGAGGGATAGAGGAAGACAACGAGAGAAGATGCTTAACAGTCTTGTTGCATGGCATGAAGGTGTGTCGGCACACGAACTGATACATGCTGCAGGAGATCGCGGATTATGGAGAGGCATGATCGCCCACGCCAGTCGGCAAGGCACCTGATGATGATGATGATTCCACTTCTTCTTTATACTAACTAGCCACACCCAGATCATTTATGTTCAGAGTCAAGGATAAGACTTAACACTAACACCTTCTGTTTGGGTTTATCCTTGACATGTTTCTAATACTGAGATGATGTCTTTTTTGGCACCCGTTAGCCATTCCACATAATAATTATGGTATAGGGAGGCAGCGAAATCACGGCCCATAATGAATCCAATAAGACCAGGGATGGGGTTTCTCCTCCTCATGGCACATAGCTGGGGCAGTATCGTAGAGACCATGTGGCCCATGCAGCGTGATCCCTCCCTCGGCCTGCCCTTGTTTACTGCAGAGGAGGGGTAACACTAGTACGTTTGGAACAAAGCATGTTGCAGAAGCTGCCGGATCTGAAGAACATTGCTTTATTTGTCTGCCTGTCAAAGTTTCCTTTCTAGACCAACTGCAAACAGAGGCTAAGGGACTGCCGAAACATTAGGTTTTCCAGTTGCACTGAGAAGTGCTCTCACAAATTGGTCAAGTGACCATGCAAAGACTTCTTAAACATCTTAAAATGTGATTTTAAAAGTGTAGGGCCCCTGTCACGCCAGTAGCATATTAGGCTGTGATATTGGACTCATATTTTTATAAATAGACAAATCAGTAGGAATTAGGTGATGTTGATTTCACACCTTAGAAAATGATGTCTTGATCATAAATATCTTGTGGCTTATGGACACTTTCCAAAGAACTTCATGCCTTGGAATATGATGGCTAGATCATAAAAACCTTGATCGAAAATATCTTGTGCTTTATGGACACCTTCCAAAGAACTTCATACCTTGGAATATGATGACTTGATCATAAATATATTGTGCCTTATGGACTTTTTCCAAAGAACAAACCTTGAAATATGATGGTTTGATCATAAATACCTTGTACCTTAGGGACACTTTCCAAAGAACAAACCTTAGAATATGATGGTTTGATCATAAATACCTTGATCATAAATACCTTGTGCCTTAGGGACACTTTCCAAAGGCCTTCACACCTTTGAATATGATGGCTTGATCATAAATGCCTCATGCCATATGGACACTTTCCAAAGGACATCTTCTGTGAGCAGCTGCCACAGGGTAGCAGAAAAATAAGACGCTCAGTTACAGTTCAGAGATACATACAACGGAAACATGAAAATGTTGGGCTTGGATACCACAGCTTGTGAGAAAAAGACCTTTGACCATAGATGTGGAAATGATGCACTGTAAGCAGTCATCTTTAGCTCGGTGACAAGAAACTTGTTCATCTTCTTCTAATAGTCTATGCTTTGTGGCATGTCTGTCGACATCCTTCTGTGTCGTACACTTTCAGTTATTTTTTTAACACAGATGATCTTCCAATCCATGATGTCAAACTGTCCAGCATCTGCTGTCTCTATCTCCTGCTGCTTCTCTTCCCCTTTAACTTTCCCATGGTGATTGTATACTTCATTGTTCTCTTTCTGATAACATGACCGAAGAATGTTTCAACATAGAGAAGAACAGAAGCTGTAAAAGAAAATCAAAGGTGTACAACTGGAGGCTGCCTAGTCGAAACACATCAACCTGCAGATATAACAGAAACAAGCTGTTATTTCTGAATCACAAGTGCAGTCTTTTCTATGATAGTAATCTACCCATTTATGTCAGTAATCTCCCCTGGTATTCAAATATATAATTAACAGACAGACAATGTAATGATTGGCACGCATAGAAAGAAGTAGAAAGACAGAAGGACACACTAGACAACATAACAGTCGAAAACTAGTTACTGTGCTGGGAATGAAACCTGTCACCTTCATATAGAGTGTTCGCCTAGTTATGGAAACAACTGTACTAAGAACATGACCAGCTAGGCACCGCTTTAAAAAAATGTATTTTTACTGGCCATGTCTGTCGTACATCTTGAAATTCATGGCTATGGAATATGAAATAAATTCATCTCAGACCATTGAAATGTCACCATAGGTATTCATGATGTTGATTTTGGGCTGACAGTCTTTTTCCTACCCTTTTGTCCCTAGACCAATTCATCTAATCTTTCTTTTGTTATCTCATGTAGCTCACTCCTTGTCCCTCCTTTCATGCTCACTTCACTCACTAATTATTTTCAGCAATTGCTTCTTGCTCTGCCTTTTATTCTTTTGGCCCTGTTCTAGCACAAAAAAATTCTAGTTATATTATCAGGTTTTCTCACTGTAAGACTTATCCAGTACCAATGTCTTTTCCTCCCCTCTTGAAATACCAGAGTTTGTTTGGTTACCTCGCAAAGCTCAAACATTAATTATTCTGTCTAGCCATTTAATTTTGCTATTATTTGCAGGCACCAATCACCGAATGTTTGTAGTTTATTAAAATTGTTTCGGTTAGGCAGTTTTTTTTTTTTTTTTTTTTTTTTGCATTTTGCTTATACACTGTTGTAGGGTCATATTTTTCCTCTGCATCCTGTATAGAATATTAGCGAAACACCACACATGAAAAAGTAGATTGTAAATTCCATTAAAATGTTTCATAACAGGTTTTTTTTTTTTGGCACAACCTAAGCTTGATTTCATTCTTAACAAGAAATTACAGCTGAATTATTTACTATTCATCAGGAGGTAAATGACATCGTCTGCTTGCCCTGAAGATATTTATTTTCCCAAGTGTGTCTTACACTGATTTGTTTAATATCACAGTGTTAAACATTTATGAGAGACAGTTATCTATATGAGAAAAAATCTATAATAATTTATCTGTTGGATTATTGCTCAGTCTGTGTGATTTGGCTGGGGGGGGGGGGGGGGGGGGGGGGGTGTGTCGTGGTGGTAGTTAATTTTATATACATGCAGTTATAAGAAAATGTTCCTCTTTTCCACTGCTTCCTTTTCTTTCTCCTCTCTTTTTCTTTCCCATCCCTCTCTCTCATTCTCTCTCTCTCTCTCTCTCTCTCTCTCTCTCTCTCTCTCTCTCTCTCTCTCTCTCTCTCTCTCTCTCTCTCTCTCTCTCATTTTTCACTCCATACCTCATCATCTCCCTCCCCCCATCTTTCTCTAACTCTCCTTTCTCTCTCCTTTTCTTCTCCCTCTTGCTGTCCTCGTCTCTGTCTGTCTCATCTCTCTTCACCTCCCTCTTCAAACTGTTTACCTTCCTATCTCTCTCAGTTGTGATCCCTAATTTAAAAATATAAAAAGAAATGTTTGATCAGAACATTGCTCTCTCATTCTTTTATACACTATTTGACATAGTAATTCATAAAGACAGAATAAGAAATTTCATTGGAAATTAATTTTGAAAAATGTGACTGAATTTATGCACCAGAAATTATCTACAAGACTTTTCGATCTGGATAAATAAATCTCTCTTTTATTTTCATTGCCAGTCCTTTGGTCTCACTTGTGGTTGTGTTTGACCCATTTTTATAATATTTTCACCGATCGTATCCCTCTCTCCCTCTAATCTTGTTGCCCCAGTAACACTAAAATAAATGGGGGTAAATTCTTTTTTCTTTTTAAATTCTTTTACATGGATCAGTATAATAATTAACAAAATTTTTTTTTTTTAAATACATTTAACTCTGAGTCCCAAGGAACGCATCATACGTCCTTAGGTTTCTACCTAGAAGCCAAATGAGCGCATGATGCGCCGATTTTATTACTTTCTCTACTACCCCCTGGGCCTGTGATGCTAAACCCCCTGGGACTCAAAGAGTTAATAACAAAAATTCTTAAAATATATAAAGATATTGAGTATCAGTAAACATAAATAGACTGAAGCATTAAATGAAATAAATTCCCCTGCGGGCCCCCCCCCCCCCCCCCCCCAAAAAAAAAAAAACAGTGTGTATCGCTTGAATCATGCTATTACCTTTATCCCTGATGCTTACAGGAAAATTTAATATCAGTCTAGTTGCATATAGTATTTGCTGTTTACTAATCATGTGAGATTCATAATGCATGTTATGTTTTTGTAACATAAAAGAGTTAATTTAATTACTGTTAATGAAAAGATTTCTGTGTCAAACTGAATAGAGAGTTTTGTTTAACTTTACATCATAAGACTCCACAAGATGCTGTGCTGATATTACTTGACATCTCAAATGATTCTGCGTTAATCTTGCTTCAAACGTTAGGACTAGGAGTTAGTTATCTCAGTTATCTTACTTTAAATAGTTACGGCTGTAAATTAAGCTGAGTTTTTACATTTTTATTTGCAGTTCTAATTGTTTTGCGTTAACATAATTAATTGTTGAATAAATTAGATCATTAATGCATGTACTTAATCAGACTTTGGTGGCAGTAAATCCACATCACTCGGCAGAATGGCAGACTTGGGAATTAAGATCGGCATAGCAAAAAAAGAGACGCACACCAGACAAGCCAGAAGACTTGTTAATCAGCATAGAACTGGTACTATTAGCCATCGGACGTTGGGGTTCATACTGAGGGGAGGATCTGAGCACAGCACCTATGGACATGTTGAGAGTGCAAGGATGATAACTCAACTAACTAACTGGATCAGACATCTTAATTATTCAGATCAGAGCAACAACAACAACAAAATATAGGAAGATCATTGTATACAATGCACAAATTAAACATTCCTTGACAACCAGAGTTTGAAGAGAGGAAACTAAGTTGTTATTTTGAATGTCTTCATTGTCTGTAGTTACCTTTTATTTGTGGGGTGGTGTAAGAAAGCGGGAGGGGCCTTCAGCCTAAAGATTTCAGGCCGCATAGCTGGTGCAGTCACCACAGACCTTCCAGGTTAGGATTTTATTTTGGCCCTTAAGAGAAAAAAATCCATTACCTTAGTTAGGATTCAAACCTTTGGCTTCCAAATGAGATCCAGCAGTCTTATCCATTCAGCCAGCCATTTCTCTAAGACCACAGTTGTATTTCAAAACCAAACACCTACTTACAAAACAGAATACTTATAGCATGTTTCAGTATAGTTCAGGCATACACACATTTGGATCCTACATAGTACCTCAGAGATGATGTGCTGCTGAAATTCTCCTTGGGGTGTGGTGTCGGGTTAGAATACTTAGGTTTCTACCTAGAAGCCAAATGAGCGCATGATGCGCCGATTTTATTACTTTCTCTACTACCCCCTGGGCCTGTGATGCTAAACCCCCTGGGACTCAAAGAGTTAATAACAAAAATTCTTAAAATATATAAAGATATTGAGTATCAGTAAACATAAATAGACTGAAGCATTAAATGAAATAAATTCCCCTGCGGCCCCCCCCCCCCCCCCCCCCAAAAAAAAAAACAGTGTGTATCGCTTGAATCATGCTATTACCTTTATCCCTGATGCTTACAGGAAAATTTAATATCAGTCTAGTTGCATATAGTATTTGCTGTTTACTAATCATGTGAGATTCATAATGCATGTTATGTTTTTGTAACATAAAAGAGTTAATTTAATTACTGTTAATGAAAAGATTTCTGTGTCAAACTGAATAGAGAGTTTTGTTTAACTTTACATCATAAGACTCCACAAGATGCTGTGCTGATATTACTTGACATCTCAAATGATTCTGCGTTAATCTTGCTTCAAACGTTAGGACTAGGAGTTAGTTATCTCAGTTATCTTACTTTAAATAGTTACGGCTGTAAATTAAGCTGAGTTTTTACATTTTTATTTGCAGTTCTAATTGTTTTGCGTTAACATAATTAATTGTTGAATAAATTAGATCATTAATGCATGTACTTAATCAGACTTTGGTGGCAGTAAATCCACATCACTCGGCAGAATGGCAGACTTGGGAATTAAGATCGGCATAGCAAAAAAAGAGACGCACACCAGACAAGCCAGAAGACTTGTTAATCAGCATAGAACTGGTACTATTAGCCATCGGACGTTGGGGTTCATACTGAGGGGAGGATCTGAGCACAGCACCTATGGACATGTTGAGAGTGCAAGGATGATAACTCAACTAACTAACTGGATCAGACATCTTAATTATTCAGATCAGAGCAACAACAACAACAAAATATAGGAAGATCATTGTATACAATGCACAAATTAAACATTCCTTGACAACCAGAGTTTGAAGAGAGGAAACTAAGTTGTTATTTTGAATGTCTTCATTGTCTGTAGTTACCTTTTATTTGTGGGGTGGTGTAAGAAAGCGGGAGGGGCCTTCAGCCTAAAGATTTCAGGCCGCATAGCTGGTGCAGTCACCACAGACCTTCCAGGTTAGGATTTTATTTTGGCCCTTAAGAGAAAAAAATCCATTACCTTAGTTAGGATTCAAACCTTTGGCTTCCAAATGAGATCCAGCAGTCTTATCCATTCAGCCAGCCATTTCTCTAAGACCACAGTTGTATTTCAAAACCAAACACCTACTTACAAAACAGAATACTTATAGCATGTTTCAGTATAGTTCAGGCATACACACATTTGGATCCTACATAGTACCTCAGAGATGATGTGCTGCTGAAATTCTCCTTGGGGTGTGGTGTCGGGTTAGAATACTTGTTCAGTATAAATGTTCTTCTTCGGCAATCATGCCTAAAAGGGTGCTTGTTTTGTGGTTTATTAAGAAACCTTAATTGGTCACCTTTTACAATTGAAGTTTAAAGTTTGAGCAACGGATCAACATCATGGCACACCCGTAAGTGTTCCGTTTTTCTTCTAACTCAAGTCTGAGTCCGAAGAAGCTCAGCACAGTGCACAGACTCTGTAGCACCAGCGAGGATCCTGAAATACTTTAGGTAGATTTTTAACTCCAAATTTTGCCCCGGCAGCGCCGTCAGGCTACTCTTTTCGATTTCCAACTGCCAAGGGATTTTTTACGTGCGCAACAATACACACGGGCGTCCTACCTCACTACCCAGAGACCTCGGGGAATTACTTGAAGTCCAAGTCCACGTGAAACAATCCCAGCCCTTACCGGGGATTGAACCCGGAACCTCTAGCACTTGAGGCAGACACCATGCCTCTAGACCAATCAGTCCCCAGGGGGTACTGGAAACCATGCAAGGGTGTTATTCTTCTGTACCTACACATGGTGACCTATACCTCTTCTTCTTTCGTTCGCTGTAAATAGATTTTCTCTATCTGCAATGTCTCTAGTAATAACTTCGCTGTCTTTTTTCATTCACTCAGTGTCCTGTAATATTTAGTTTCCACCAGTGTTTCTCTTAGCCAAAAGTTTTGTGACCTTTATGTTAGATTTTAGTTGTTCATCTGTTGTATTTTTATCTATTTTTATTTTGCTTTCTTCTAGACAAACAACACTGGGACCAATACCGGAGCTGACTGGACCAGTGTTGTGGTCACCAGCGAATTACCACCAGACAGTGTGAAAAAACGAGATATGATCAGCTACCAGACACCAGATGGGTCCATAAACAACAAAGTCCCACCCTTGAATGGAACAGGTGTGTAGTTGTGACATTCACGTGAATGAATTCTTGTGTGTGTGGTTTTTGCTTTTGTTTTTGGGTGTGCATATGAGTGCTGATTCTACATGATGGTGTTTGTTCTAATTTTTGTCACATTTTATCTGTGTCAGTTTTGTCTTCTTCTGCTGCGTTCATCCCAAGATGTGAATGTGTTGTGCCTGTTTATAGCACCGCTGCAGTTTTGCAGCTTTCAGCCGACACATCTGACTTCTGCAGGCATTTGTTACCCAGATTAGGCTAAAGTTTTGTAGTGTAAACAACACAAAACAGAAGTAACTGGAGGGACAAACTATGGCCAGCTTAAGGAAGGCCTGGCTACACAATCTGGCCACGTCACTTTTGCAGGCCGACAGGAAACGATCTTGGGCAAACAATGCCCGATTACCCCTCCTGGATATATGCTGATTTTACAGGAGTGTACTTGCTCTAGTCTGTCATTTGTTTATTTTCTTGTGTGTGGTTGTTTCTTGTCAATGGGACAGATCCATTCCAACTTTGAAGGAAGTCCCTAATTAGTGGACTCCTACAACATGCTTGTTGGAGAGGCAATGGGGCCACAGAACCGACATGGGGTGAATAGCTTACAAAAGCCTAAAGCAGTAATTACATTTAACATGAACACTTCCAATTTTAAAGATGTAATATGCTTAAGAGAACAAGCTGCAGCCATCTTGCACGTGTCCTTCATGCATGTGCTCCATTTCGTTTCAGGAGACAGTAGAGAAGGTATGCACAGGTATTTTTTTCCCCCCAGCTTTATTCTGTAAACCCACAATGGTGAAGGTTATATTCTCAACGATTCTGCCTTTTACTTTTCTATAAACCATACTTGCTAGTTTGTGCTTTAATCTGACAGTGAATTCTTGATAACATTAATTTGTTGCTTCTGTCAGCTACTGGGTTTGATTTACGGAATTGGTACAGACAAAGTATGTACATTTTTTTTCTACATTGACAACATTTACTTGGGTAGTATTGCTTACAAATTTTATAGGTTGTATTTTTTTTTATTAGAACGTATATTTTAAAACTATTATGAGATTTCTTTACATATTTTGAAATTTTAGATGTACTCAAAAGCATTTCTTGCAGTAGTTAATCTGAATGTTTTAGAATGGTTTCATACTGATTTCCTTTTTTTCTTCTTTCTTTTTTAATTGTCAAACTAGAATATATTAGGATAGAGTAGTTCATCTTGCAAATTAGAATAGTGTGGGGAAGGGCCTCGTTAGCGCAGCCAATAGGAGACACAGTTTCAAATCCAGCTACGACTCTCTGCAGCCCTTTGTCTGTGTTCAAAACGGGGCAGTTTCCCGGGTTCAAGCATCCTCTTACTAATGGGACACTTTGGGGTAAATGGAGGAATGTCGCTGTAGCTACAGAGTCACGTTTGGATGACGACACAAACGGACAGTTTCTTATCAGCTGTCCGTACTGGTGGCAGAGCACTTAGGTTTATAACCGTGTGCAGTGACGCTGGTTCATATCTCCCGACTTTACCTTAACCTTTTAGAATATTGTGGTATAAGACAAGGGTCCTATTTGTCCGAATATTTTGTTTTTCTTATTCCTTTGAGGTTTGTTTCTATCATTATGTCATACTCTTCCAGTCCACATTTTTTCTTCTTCTGAGTACGCATCACTCAGTGAATGTAGTGTTTCAGTCATATTCCTCTTCTTCTTCTTTGTGTTCACCGGCTGTAAACTCCAGCGGAAAGTTCTGGTTGTTCATCCACCTCTGGACTTTGGACTTGTTCCAGAACCTGAGTGTTGTGGGCACTTCCATTTTACAGATCTTACTTATTTTTATTTTTTTTTATTTTTGAACTAACAAATAAACAAATTTGAACAAAGAAGACAAACATTAGATTGCATAGCTCATCTTCACTGCCTTTTGGGCATACTCATAAGTGCTGCGGTATTCTTAACGTTTCTTAGTGTTTATGTTCTGTATTGGTTCAAATTGGATAAAATGAAGCAAATTAAATTATTCCTTTACAGTCCCCCTTTCTTTGCTCAAATTCACAGCAGGGAAACAGACATCAAAATAATCAATAAGACCGGATGACTTTTTATGTGAATTAATAAAACAGTAAAAACCACATATCCTTATATATGATTTCACATTTATAAAAATCTGATTTGACGTCATTTTTAACCAAAGTTTGTTGCATTATATTCTGTCCGCAAAAACATTGTAACTGCCTTTATCTTGTTTGTTGTCAGTTTGCCCTTGATCTAATTACATGGCAACAATTTTATGGTTTTCTGATCATCAGAATGATTTGTTCGGAATTAAACAGGAAGTTGTCTTCTGTCTTCATAAGTGAATTATTTTAGATAAACTAGCACATAGAGCACTGTGACATTTTATTGTATTTCTTTCTTTCTTTGTTGCGGGAATGACGTAGTTCCTCTGTTTCTTTGATTCATTGTGTATGTGTACAGGGTCGTGTGGTAGATTTTCTCAGTATGATGCTAGTCTTTAAAATGTCGCCTCTTAGATGTTAAAATTGTATTTTCGATTTGCTGCTTATGCCACACCTCTCTAACCCCCCCTCCCCATTCCTTTTTAAGTTGCTGCGTGATGCGCCACCTCTCTGTATCATAGATCATAAATAACACAGCACAGCCCTGCATGTGTGTGCATATATGTGAAATAGAGAGAAGGTTAGTTTTGTAACTTATGTGGTAGACTGTACCTCAGTCCATGCTCAAGGTGTGCTGTCACTGAGCCATCTTTTACTTTCTGGCCCAGTTTGATAGTAGGAACTAAAAGGTGTGCTGTCACTGAGCCATCTTTTACTTTCTGGCCCAGTTTGATAGTAGGAACTAAAAGGTGTGCTGTCACTGAGCCATCTTTTACTTTCTGGCCCAGTTTGATAGTAGGAACTAAAAGGTGTGCTGTCACTGAGCCATCTTTTACTTTCTGGCCCAGTTTGATAGTAGGAACTAAAAGGTGTGCTGTCACTGAGCCATCTTTTACTTTCTGGCCCAGTTTGATAGTAGGAACTAAAAGGTGTGCTGTCACTGAGCCATCTTTTACTTTCTGGCCCAGTTTGATAGTAGGAACGAAAAGGTGTGCTGTCACTGAGCCATCTTTTACTTTCTGGCCCAGTTTGATAGTAGGAACTAAAAGGTGTGCTGTCACTGAGCCATCTTTTACTTTCTGGCCCAGTTTGATAGTAGGAACTAAAAGGTGTGCTGTCACTGAGCCATCTTTTACTTTCTGGCCCAGTTTGATAGTAGGAACTAAAAGGTGTGCTGTCACTGAGCCATCTTTTACTTTCTGGCCCAGTTTGATAGTAGGAACTAAAAGGTGTGCTGTCACTGAGCCATCTTTTACTTTCTGGCCCAGTTTGATAGTAGGAACTAAAAGGTGTGTGCTGTCACTGAGCCATCTTTTACTTTCTGGCCCAGTTTGATAGTAGGAACTAAAAGGTGTGCTGTCACTGAGCCATCTTTTACTTTCTGGCCCAGTTTGATAGTAGGAACTAAAAGGTGTGCTGTCACTGAGCCATCTTTTACTTTCTGGCCCAGTTTGATAGTAGGAACTAAAAGGTGTGCTGTCACTGAGCCATCTTTTACTTTCTGGCCCAGTTTGATAGTAGGAACTAAAAGGTGTGCTGTCACTGAGCCATCTTTTACTTTCTGGCCCAGTTTGATAGTAGGAACTAAAAGGTGTGCTGTCACTGAGCCATCTTTTACTTTCTGGCCCAGTTTGATAGTAGGAACTAAAAAAGGTGTGCTGTCACTGAGCCATCTTTTACTTTCTGGCCCAGTTTGATAGTAGGAACTAAAAGGTGTGCTGTCACTGAGCCATCTTTTACTTTCTGGCCCAGTTTGATAGTAGGAACTAAAAGGTGTGCTGTCACTGAGCCATCTTTTACTTTCTGGCCCAGTTTGATAGTAGGAACTAAAAGGTGTGCTGTCACTGAGCCATCTTTTACTTTCTGGCCCAGTTTGATAGTAGGAACTAAAAGGTGTGCTGTCACTGAGCCATCTTTTACTTTCTGGCCCAGTTTGATAGTTGGAACTAAAAGGTGTGCTGTCACTGAGCCATCTTTTACTTTCTGGCCCAGTTTGATAGTAGGAACTAAAAGGTGTGCTGTCACTGAGCCATCTTTTACTTTCTGGCCCAGTTTGATAGTAGGAACTAAAAGGTGTGCTGTCACTGAGCCATCTTTTACTTTCTGGCCCAGTTTGATAGTAGGAACTAAAAGGTGTGCTGTCACTGAGCCATCTTTTACTTTCTGGCCCAGTTTGATAGTTGGAACTAAAAAGGTGTGCTGTCACTGAGCCATCTTTTACTTTCTGGCCCAGTTTGATAGTAGGAACTAAAAGGTGTGCTGTCACTGAGCCATCTTTTACTTTCTGGCCCAGTTTGATAGTAGGAACTAAAAGGTGTGCTGTCACTGAGCCATCTTTTACTTTCTGGCCCAGTTTGATAGTAGGAACTAAAAGGTGTGCTGTCACTGAGCCATCTTTTACTTTCTGGCCCAGTTTGACAGTTGGAACTAAAAGGTGTGTTTACTGTTTAGTGTAGATATGGAAAGACACAGTCTCTGTTTCTTTAGACTCTGGAGTAAGCAATGAAAGAAAGAAAATGAGATCTGAGGAATGTGTTTTAAATTAAGGTTTAACTTGTTTGTTGTAAGGAGTGCTTGCTTGCAGTTCTTTAATGTTTACATTGGAATTATTTCTTAGTTGGTTGATTGTGTACCTTCTGGATAACTGAGTTGTAACCCCTAACTCTATTAGCATTTCAAATTGTTGAAACTAAGCATGGTAAAGCTTTCCTTTCTCTCCCAACCTAGTGCAGACTATCTTCTCCATAGAAAGTGTTTGGCAGAGCTTTCCTTTCTCTCCCAACCTAGTGCAGATTATCTTCTCCATAGAAAATGTTAAACAGAGCTTTTCTTTCTCTCCCAACCTAGTGCAGATTATCTTCTCCATAGAAAATGTTTGGCAGAGCTTTCCTTTCTCTCCCAACCTAGTGCAGACTATCTTCTCCATAGAAAATGTTTGGCAGAGCTTTCCTTTCTCTGCCAACCTAGTGCAGACTATCTTCTCCATAGAAAGTGTTTGGCAGAGCTTTCCTTTCTCTCCCAACCTAGTGCAGATTATCTTCTCCATAGAAAGTGTTTGGCAGAGCTTTCCTTTCTCTCCCAACCTAGTGCAGACTATCTTCTCCATAGAAAGTGTTTGGCAGAGCTTTCCTTTCTCTGCCAACCTAGTGCAGACTATCTTCTCCATAGAAAGTGTTTGGCAGAGCTTTTGTGTTTTGTCTTTCAGACATTGAAACAGGGACAGCACATAACTAATACTATTACTTTGTGAAGAGTTTAACTGGAGTGTAACCATGTTATCATGAATGATTAAATCAGCAACTGATATTACTGAACTCAAGGTGTTCCCACACTCTGTCCCCTTCTTCAGTTGCAAATGAAGAGTTTCCATACAGTTGCAACTTGATTAAATGTCTGCCTTTTTTCCTTCATGAAACTGTCCAATTACACTGCCCACTGAATCAATCTTTCGAGGTATGGATATGCTGTTCCGTTGCACTGTCCGTTTGATCCTAGAGACCCTTCACCATGTCTGCTGTATCATAAAGTAGCTCACTGCCCAGAGAAGCAGCAGCCAGTGTATCTGCCTGCTCATTACTCCACACACCCAATTATCCTGGACAGAAAATCCATGATATGCTTTTGACCTGAGTGATACCCAGCGATGCTAACCACTCTACACATTGGACAACTTACTATTCAGCACAACACATGGACTGGTTGGCTGCAGTCCTCTACACAAATTTTAGGTATTTAATTATCACCAAACTCTATCTCAGTGGCCAAGGGGAATGACAGTAGGTTCAATGCAAACATTGTAGAAACCAAGATGTCAAGGGAAACCCTAAAATGAATTCTGATGAGAGAGACCAGAGCTGCTGGACTGGATTTCACCTATGATATTGAAAGGATTGCATGGGATAGAATGGAATAGAAGACTAGACTGTGAGACCAATGTGGTGTAAATTGGAACGCAACAAGATGGTTATGATGAAACCCCAGCTTGCCAAATGATCTTTGAAGTCCCCATAATGATTTTGTCAGTCATTTTTATTGATAACTATTGAATGTATTTTGTATACTTTTGCAATCAAAGGAGTTAATTCGCCACAGAACTGCATAGGTAATCTATCAATATTTTATCTCCTAATTGCTGTTTTTTTTTAATTCAGATTAAATTATTTGCACTTTTTGCATGCTGGAAAGATGTTTTACTTTCCATTTAATTGCTATGTTGTTTATTGTTGCAGTAATTTCTACACTTTGTTTTTTTCTTTTCAGTTGAAGTTGATTAGACTATCTTGCTTTATCTTATTTTAAACGAGAATAGCAGTGATAATTTAGCCACAGTTTGTGTTAAATCTGGCCTTGTTGTCTCCATTGCCAGCAGTTGTTCCCATCGTGCTAGTGCTTTCTGTAGATTGCATGGGTCATAGATTCTCCCGCTTGCACATACAGAATACACATTGACATCCTTATCAAACAGAATACATCAACATAGTGAATATGAAATGGCAGTAAAAAGTATATGTCTTATAGATTTGAATACCTGAAAGACTATTTTGAATACCTGAAAGACTATTTTGAATACCTGAAAGACTATCATTAACTGGCAAAGTCATCATGGTATGGGGCGTCGCAGGCCGACCCAGCCTAAAATGTGTACCACGATGGCTGTCCTGGGAAAGTATAAAGACGGCCGGCATACTGCTGACCACATTGCCCACTAGTGCCGATAGTCTAAAAATATGGGGTGCTCTTCCCATATACCCAATATGTCTAAAGGTGTGGAAAGAGATAGTTACTTTACTTTTACTTCTACACAAATATTTCTAGATTTTCACCTGTCCATTTTCAAAGAGACGTATTAAATTTCTGCTCCAGATAAGTTGGGATGAAGTATTTCACAGCTACAGTGTTGTAATTGGCCATTTCAGACAGAAGTGCAATTTTCTCAGAGTAAAGAAATTTTTGCTTAGATGACATTGGCATAGTTCCAGACAGTATGAGCATGCGGTGTCATACTTTCTACTTCCTGTGAAGTGTTATTTGACATATTTTCTAGCTTCTAAGAAATGTCATTTGTTCTGATAGTGGTAGTATGTGGTTTTCTTTACATTCTTGTGTTTTCATTGTTTAACTGTGTAGACCAGTGTTTTTTGGGGGGGGGGGGGATTAGGGGTTTTTGTCTGTCCACGATATGGCTTAAGATGTTATCCATCTAGTCATGTTTGTAGGTCCATCAAACTCATTTATTCTTTATTCTCTTTTTTTTCTTTTTTTAAAATTGGTTTGAGTTTTGTCAGTTGTTGGAATAGCAAATATGCTTTTCATTTAATTTCTAGATATTGTCTCTCTCTCTCTCAATGTATGTGTTTTATTGCTTTTCCCCTCCTTGATTTTCTTGGAATTGCTGTTCAGTAGCTTTCTACAGTTTTTATTTATTCGTTGACGTTGATGTTAAAAATAAAAATTAAAAAATCAGACGCTTCAGCGTGCCACTGGGGCTTTGCTTTATTTGCGTCATCCTTTCTGGGCGGGTTTGTGTTAAGGCGTGTTAGTGTGCCTTTTGTTTGCCAATTGTCCTCCTTGCCATTGTCGGTGTAGGAGCTGATTCCTTAACTGGGTGTCAGTCACGCATTCACTGATTCCACCATATTTATTTTATTTTATTTATTTAGTGAAACTCCAGTATTTATCCATTCCTGAGGGGAGGACAAATCCTAAAGGATATCAAATGAATTTTCCTCATAGGAATGAACTAAAAATGTTTAAATCCATTCTCAGTTCAGAATTTTGTCCATCTATTTAAAACCAAAATTTCACTCGAACATCAATCTCAGAAGTTTTGTGTGTGTGTGTGTGTGTAGGAATAATCTTTTTCCAGATTTATAGGTTGTTAGTTTTACAATAAAAGTCTTTCTACCTTTCTAGGTAACACTTAATTTCTGCAGATAAAATGTCTGTATTGATGCAAAGGACACTTTTTCAAATACTTGTTAATTACATATTAACCACTCTATTTATTATTGCTTTATCATTTATTACTGGTCCCGGTGAAGAGAATTTACTGTATAGCTAAATGAATACGTTATAAAATTTAAAAAGAAGAACTTTACTATTGAGATGACAAAACAATGGCTATTGTCTTGGAGAGAAGCTTCCTTTCATTGTATTATCAGGTAATGTCATTTCCAGTGATTTCCTAAAGATTCTTCAGCATTTCCAGACGATTCACAAACTAGTTTTTTTTTTTTTTTTTTTAAAAAGAAGTTATCGAATGTTATTTGTTTATCCTTTAAAAAAAATTTTTTTAAGGTGTCCGAGCACATAATCATCAAAATGAATTGATTTGCTAATTAACTATAGTGCCATTTTTCAATGAAAACCATAACTTTTGCCAAAGTGGTCAGTCGTTCCTTAATTTCAGCACACACACCCTCCCCCCCGATCATCTGATGACACACCGGCTGTGTTGGAGGAAGAACGATTGTTGACTTTTCGGGCGAATTTCGAACACAAATTTTAATAAAAAAAGAAACAGGACATATTTTTTAAAAGACAGATATTGGCGTAGATTAATATTGGAATTCCACTGTAATTTGTTGATAGTGAAATCCATTCTGAATGAGCTACTTTAGTTATTGTCAGTTATGCACGTGTTATTCCAGTTTTTTATTGCTTCTGTGCCTGTTTACTTAGCACAAAATAACTCAAATCGCCTTTAAAAGATTGTTTATATTTAAACAAATTTTCTTCTCGGTTTCTGGATCATTTGTATGAGTGTAAAAATAGTTTTTTGTTTCTATGTTCCTGTGTCGTTATTTTTATAGAGTGAGTTATTTTAGGTTATATTCCATTTCCCTGGTTTTTTTTTTTTTTTTTTGTTTTTTTTTTTTTAACGTGTTTTTTTCTTAAACTTTTACTTTTTTTTTTTTTTTTAATAGAAATAATCTGTTTCCAGATTTATGGCTTGTTAGTTTTACAATAAAAGTCTTTCTACCTCTCTAGGTAACACATAATTTCTGCAGATAAAATGTCTGTATTGATGTAAAGGACATTTTTTTCAAATTGTTTTTTTGTGGTGTGAACTTTGGTAAAATAGAGGTAATTATGTTTGTCCTTAGAGCCTTATTGTTTGGAAAATAAAGGTGATATGAATGTAATATTGGAAAAGTAAAGATTACAGGAGTTTGACGTTGGAAAAGTTAAGGTGATAGGAATGTAATGTTAGAAAGGTAAAGGTGATAAGAATGTAAAGTTTAGAAAGTGAAGGTGGTAGGAATTAATGTTGAGAAAGTTAACATGATAGGAATGTAAAGTTTGGAAAGTGAAGGTAGTCGAAATTAATGTTGGGAAAGTAAAGTTAATAGGAATGGGTTTTTTTCCTGACCCTTCTAGTTTGATCTCTGGTTAAGTAAAGCTCTGACATGATGTTGACCACATCGCACAACCACCGGCATGATGTTGACCACATCGCACAACCACAAGCATGATGTTGACCACATCACACAACCACTGCCATGATGTTGACCACATCGCACAACCGCCGGCATGATGTTGACCACATCACACAACCACTGCCATGATGTTGACCACATCACACAACCGCTGCCATGATGTTGACTACATCACACAACCACTGGCATGATGTTGACCACATCACACAACCACTGCCATGATGTTGACCACATCACACAACCACTGCCATGATGTTGACTACATCACACAACCACTGCCATGATGTTGACCACATCACACAACCACTGCCATGATGTTGACCACATCGCACAACCGCCGGCATGATGTTGACCACATCACACAACCACTGCCATGATGTTGACCACATCACACAACCACCGGCATGATGTTGACCACATCACACAACCACCAGCATGATGTTGACCACATCGTACAACCACTGCCATGATGTTGACCACATCATACAACCACCAGCATGATGTTGACCACATCACACAACCACCGCCATGATGTTGACCACATCACACAACCACTGCCATGATGTTGACTACATCACACAACCACTGCCATGATGTTTACCACATCGCACAACCACTGGCATGATGTTGACTACATCACACAACCACTGGCATGACGTTGACCACATCACACAACCACTGGCATGATGTTGACCACATCGCACAACCACAGGCATGATGTTGACCACATCACACAACCACAGGCATGATGTTGACCACATCACACAACCACAGGCATGATGTTGACCACATCACACAACCACAGGCATGATGTTGACCACATCACACAACCACTGGCATGATGTTGACCACATCACACAACCACTGGCATGATGTTGACCACATCACACAACCACAGGCATGATGTTGACCACATCACACAACCACAGGCATGATGTTGACCACATCACATAACCACAGCCATGATGTTGACCACATCCCACAACCACTGCCATGACGTTGACCACATCACACAACCACAGGCATGATGTTGACCACATCACACAACCACTGCCATGATGTTGACCACATCCCACAACCACTGCCATGACGTTGACCACATCGCACAACCACTGGCATGATGTTGACCACATCACACAACCACTGCCATGATGTTGACCACATCACACAACCACTGGCATGGTGTTGACCACATCACACAACCACAGGCATGACGTTGACCACATCACACAACCACTGGCATGGTGTTGACCACATCACACAACCACAGGCATGACGTTGACCACATCACACATCCACTGGCATGGTGTTGACCACATCGCACAACCACTGCCATGATGTTGACCACATCGCACAACCACTAGCAGGATGTTGACCACATCACACAACCACCGGCAGGACGTTGACCACATCAGACAACCACTGGCATGGTGTTGACCACATCACACAACCACAGGCATGACATTGACCACATCACACAACCACTGGCATGACGTTGACCACATCACACAACCACTGGCATGATGTTGACCACATGACATAACCACTGGCATGATGTTGACCACATGACACAACCACTGTCATGATGTTGACCACATCACACAACCACTGCCATGATGTTGACCAAATCGCACAACCACCGGCATGACGTTGATCACATCACACAACCACTGCCATGATGTTGACCACATCGCACAACCACTGGGATGATGTTGACCACATCGCACAACCACTGGCATGACGTTGACCACATCACACAACCACTGCCATGATGTTGACCACATTGCACAACCACCGGCATGATGTTGACCACATCACACAACCACTGGCATGATGTTGACCACATCACACAACCACTGGCATGATGTTGACCACATCACACAACCACTGGCATGGTGTTGACCACATCGCACAACCACTGGGATGATGTTGACCACATCGCACAACCACTAGCAGGATGTTGACCACATCACACAACCACTGCCATGATGTTGACCAAATCGCACAACCACTGGCAGGATGTTGACCACATCAGACAACCACTGGCATGGTGTTGACCACATCACACAACCACTGCCATGATGTTGACCAAATCGCACAACCACTGGCAGGATGTTGACCACATCAGACAACCACTGGCATGGTGTTGACCACATCACACAACCACTGGCATGATGTTGACCACATCACACAACCACCAGCATGACGTTGATCACATCACACAACCACTACCATGATGTTGACCACATCGCACAACCACTGGGATGATGTTGACCACATCACACAACCACTGCCATGATGTTGACCACATCACACAACCACTGCCATGATGTTGACCACATCACACAACCACTGGCATGACGTTGACCACATCACACAACCACTGGCATGGTGTTGACCACATCACACAACCACTGGCATGATGTTGACCACATCACACAACCACAGGCATGATGTTGACCACATCACACAACCACTGCCATGATTTTGACCACATCACACTACAGCAGGCATGACGTTGACCACATCGCACAACCACTGCCATGATGTTGACCACATCACACAACCACTGCCATGATGTTGACCACATCACACAACCACTGCCATGATTTTGACCACATCACACAACAGCAGGCATGACGTTGACCACATCGCACAACCACTGCCATGACATTGACCACATCACACAACCACTGCCATGAAAGGGGTCTTTTTTTCCTTTCTTTTTTGAAACAAGTTAAGCTACATGGCTTATGAGCATTACAACACAGCTATTGATTTGGCTTAGTTTTTGGCAGTGGTAAGTGATTATAAATCTTTAGAGCTCTATTGCCAATTTATGCTCTTTAGTAACGGAAATTGAGAAGAAAATTTTTTCTGGAAAGGTTATTTTGTTATCAGTGTTGGAAAAAGAAAAATGACCCTAAAATATGTTGTCAAATTGATCTTCTTTAAAAGTTCTGAAAACGGTGCTGCTAATTTTATCTTTTGAAATGACCTATGAAATCTTACATTCTATTGCAGAAAGCCAGCTGCTGAATTGATCTTTCTTAGAACAAGTTAGCCCGATGATTTGATTTTTAGTGAAGAAAAGAGACAAAGGGAACTTAATCTCTGAAACTTTCTTGCTGATTTGATCTTTTATAAAGAAGGTTTCTCTCCTAACCTGACGCCATCCTTTTGTTCACACATGCAATTATTAAAAATCTTGTGACCTTAAATTTCCAGGGAAGAAGAATCATATTTGGGATATGACTCTTAATCAGCTTGACTACCTCGGTAAGTTCTTCAGTCAAGACCCCACCCCAGGAGGTAGCAGTCTGTGTATGTGTTCCTTGTTGCTCTTGCAGGGTCACCAGTTTGATGTTGCTATAGACAAGGGTCTTGTTGTATGTTGTTTGATCAGAAAGCACTGTTTTCTTTTTTTTCTCTCTTTTTCAGAAGCATGTTTTCTGTGTGCCTCTTTAACATGTTTTTCATTCCAAATCAGATTATAGATATGCAGTTTGAAACTGCCTTTAGTTGGTGCTGCTGTGCTGTCACAATATTTCAAAGTTAATAAGTGGCTGTTTACATTTATATTGCAAAAACAGAAATTCCTTGGTGATCAATTGTCCAGTATACTCTATTTATATTGCATAAAGGGGAAATTCCTTGGTGATCAGTTGTCCAGTATACTCAGTTTATTTATATTGCATAAAGGGGAAATTCCTTGGTGATCAGTTGTCCAGTATACTCAGTTTATTTATATTGCATAAAGGGGAAATTCCTTGGTGATCAGTTGTCCAGTATACTGTTTATTTATATTGCATAAGGGGAAATTCCTTGGTGATCAGTTGTCCAGTATACTCAGTTTATTTATATTGCATAAAGGGGAAATTCCTTGGTGATCAGTTGTCCAGTATACTCAGTTTATTTATATTGCATAAAGGGGAAATTCCTTGGTGATCAGTTGTCCAGTATACTCAGTTTATTTATATTGCATAAAGGGGAAATTCCTTGGTGATCAGTTGTCCAGTATACTGTTTATTTATATTGCATAAGGGGAAATTCCTTGGTGATCAGTTGTCCAGTATACTCAGTTTATTTATATTGCATAAAGGGGAAATTCCTTGGTGATCAGTTGTCCAGTATACTCAGTTTATTTATATTGCATAAAGGGGAAATTCCTTGGTGATTTGTTGTCCAGTATACTCAGTTTATTTATATTGCATAAAGGGGAAATTCCTTGGTAATCAGTTGTACATCATACTTAGTTTATTTATTTTGCACAAAGGAAAATTCCTCGGCGATCATTTGTAAATCATACTTAGTTTATTTATTTTGCATAAAGGGAAATTCCTTGGTGATCAGTTGTCCAGTATACTTAGTTTATTTATTTTGCATAAAGGGAAATTCCTTGGCGATCAGTTGTCCAGTATACTCAGTTTACTTATATTGCATAAAGGGAAATTCCTTGGTGATCAGTTGTCCAGTCTACTTAGTTTATTTGTATTGTATAAAGGGAAATTCCTTGACGATCAGTTGTCCAGCATTCTTAGTTTATTTATATTGCATAAAGGGAAATTCCTTGGTGATCAGTTGTCCAGTCTACTTAGTTTATTTGTATTGTATAAAGGGAAATTCCTTGACGATCAGTTGTCCAGCATTCTTAGTTTATTTATATTGCAAAAACGGAAATTCCTTGATGATCAATCAGTTGTCCAGTATACTTAGTTTATTTATATTGCATAAAGGGAAATTCCTTGACGATCAGTTGTCCAGCATTCTTAGTTTATTTATATTGCAAAAACGGAAATTCCTTGACGATCAGTTGTCCAGTATACTTAGTTTATTTATTTTGCATAAAGGGAAATTCCATGACGATCAGTTGTCCAGCATTCTTAGTTTATTTATATTCATATTAAAATAAAATTAACCTTGGATCAATTTGGTGTAAAAAGTGTCCTTGACTGTTTACTTTACAGGCAACAGATTTGGAAAACAAAAATATTTTGCAACAGTAAAATCGATAAACTCAAAAGCTTTCTTTAAAGGGAAATACAGTAATAGTTGATTTCTCTCAACAAATGGATTTGAGCATATTAAATCGATTGTATGTCTTCGATTTTAATTAATAGAAATTAGTTTGCAGTGTTGTTTTTTTTCCCTGCTCAGTGGAAGAGAAAAGTGTGAAGTCTGTGAGCAGTTGATCCTTTTTGTCCAGACAGAGAGTAATATCGTAGCCAGTTATTGTAAGGCCACTTTCATAGTGACACATGCAAATAAATTATCTAGAAGCAACTCAGGTTCATTGCCCCATTCTTTAAATGGGATAAAACTCATTTATTCTTCACCATCATTTTGAACCATTAAAGTCATCATGAGTTAGTCTTTCAATAATCCAGGTTTTAGTTCTGATGTCAAATATACTTCTTACTCTCACAGAACTGTATGGTACTCTATGTAGCCATTACAGAGTCCTAACTATTATACCTTTTGAAGATACTGAACAGTCAGTGTTATAAATCCACCTTTCTCTAAAAATTAACACAAAAGACACAGACTGTTATAATTGTGCTGTGTTCTCAAAGAGTGAACTAAAATAAAAAAGTCAACCTTATTGATAAAACCTTCTCAAGAAGTAAGATAGAAGGTATCAGATTTGGTGGGAGCCATTTGTTCCAGAAGTTGGTGGGTGGGGAACTTCTGGTGATCAGAAGCCTCCTTCCCCAAGTGGTTTGAGATAGGGGGTAAAGGATATACCTATTGCACACACCCACCCACCCCAACAAGCATGTCGTAAAATTCGCCTAACTGAAGTCAGTGCATCAGTCTACCAGGCATGGATCCAAAACTGTGCATACAGATAAGCCAGATCAGTAAAATGGATATGCACAAGAAACTCAGTTCTGAAACAAAATTAAAGTGAAGAAGTGGACGAACAACCAGAATTTTCTGCCAGAGTTAACAGCCGGGGAGCGTGAAGAAAAAAAGAGAACGTAGAGTCTGTGGTGGTGGATCTCAGTGAATCAAGTGCCGTCTCCACATTGAAGGTTTGCTGAAATGGATCTCCATGCTCTGTCTCTTGTCCTGGTTGTACACTCTCTCAGACTGCTGCCCGTCCATCTCTTGATGTTGTCCTCTCACTTGTATCGTTTCCCACCTCATACCTCTCTTAATACAGATTTACTTATCTGAGGTGGTTTTCATATTTTCCTTAACTTTTCGAGTCCCACTCTCTTTAGCACCAGAGGCCTAAGGGGTAGTCAAGAGAGACGTAAAATCGGCACATCTTTCCCTCCAGTATGGTTTTAAAATTGTGTTATGTCTTTCAATGTCCCCAAAGTATTTCAAATTGTCTTTTTTTTTATTTTATTTCTTTCAGTAATTCTCTTTTCATTTGTAGCCTTTCCAGAACGTCTGTATTGGACTGTTTTTTTGTTTCCATAAAATACTACCTATTCTTCTGTCTACCCACATCTCCAGAGACTCAGTTCTGTTATCGTTGCTTGTTCATTGTCTACGTTTCTGCACCATATAGCAAGACTTAGTATACATAACATTGTTAGTATGTTGTTCATCTCTCTGGTGTCAGTAACTTGCGCATCTTATTGAAGACAGTTTTAGCCATTCCTATTCTCTTTTTGATTTCTGTTTTGCTTCTTCTATCATCTGTTATTACGTGTCCTAGATAGGAAAAACTTGTTACTTGTTCTAATAGCTCTCTGTTTACTGTGATGTTCACTGTTGACTGCTCTTTTCCATTGTTAATTACCATCATTTTTCGAATATTATTATATGAACCATACTCTGCACTCCAGCTGTTGACTTGATCCACCAGTTCTTGTAACTCCTGCTTGCTGTCTGCTAGTAGCACTGTGTCATCTGCATATTTCAGACTGTTTATTGTTCTTCCATTAATATTCAGTCCAGGCAATTCCTCAACCTGATTAACAAATTTTTCTATATACAAAACAAAAAGGCTTGGGGATAACTACTCTTTTTATCTCTATCTGTGGTGATGTCGTTGTGTCTAACTGTTGCTATTTGTTCCCAATAAAGGTTACTAATAATTCTCATATCCTTTCCATCAAATCCTATTTTTTGGAGGCATGCAATTAGCTTGTCATATTGCACCCTGTCAAAGGCTTTCTTGTAATCTATGAAACATGCGTAAATGCTTTTCCAGACTTGAATATATTTTTCAGTCAGCATCTTTAAACAGATTGTGGCTTCCCTAGTGCCAATATTTTTCCGAAATCCAAACTGTTCCTTAGACACTTCATTATTTTTTTTACTTTGAATTATTTCTTGAATGATCTTAAGAAGTATTTAAATTATATGGCTGATTGAGCTAATTATTCTGTGATCTTGACACTCAAACGGTTTTTGACATTTTGGGCAGTGTGGTGGGTCATGGATTTGGATGTAGGTTTTGCCCCAGTTTAATTGCCATCTGAGATGTCACAGTTCAATCAGAGGGTTGGTCTGACTTTTAGCTGTGCCCAGGGGGGGTGGGGGGGGGGGGCTGTCTCCTCTTCTGAGAGTCTTAGTCTCCATGGGTGGGTTCTGGGGCCCCATTTTGGGGTGGGGGGGGGAATAGACTACTGCTGCCCCTAACAAATATGTCATAAAAGCTGGCTTAATTAAGAGAGTTTCCTTTAAAGTCCAGAGTTTACTGCCTGAACAACCAACAGTCTGTATACAGATATGTAAAACAGATGTGCATGAAAAAACTCCAGCTCTGGAACAAAACCAAAGTCCAGAAGTGGATGAACAGTTACAACTTTCCACTGCACTTTATAGCCTTTAACACTAAGAATAAGCAGAAAAAGAAAGTCTCAGTCTGTGAATGAGTAGTGACCGCTGGATGTTTGGTGTTTTGGTTGATGTCAACTCCAAATGGGATGTAGACTTCAGTGTGACAGACAGCTTGGTAGACACTTTGTTAAAGCTTGCTTGTTACTGTCTTTGGTGCTTTGCATTTCATCCTGTTGTGATGTTGTAGCTTAAATTGTGTTGTTTTGTCTGCATTCATTGAAGCTAATCTGCTTCAGCCTTCTTTGAAAGTGGTAGTGCTTAAGGTTTTGACACAAGTGTTTTGTATTACAAGTATTACTTATATTATTTAGGTTATTTTTAATAATTAATATTATTTTCATTATTATTCTGTGAGTATATTTGTATTATTATTCACTAAGGACATTACTTTTAGTATACATAATATACACAGGAAACGTACATTTGTGGAAAGTGTGAGGTGTCCTTTAGGTATTATGTTACTGTTTTCAACGGTCATGCAAATGCACATACATATATACATACATATATACTACACACGCTTTAGAGATATTTGGACTCTGTATGATAAATATACTCTCTGAATCTTTGTCCTCTGTCATGAGTTTCATTATTGTTCATAGATATAAAACTACAAAAAATTATTAACGGATATTATTACTTAAGTAAAATTATTAACTACGGATATCATTACTTAATTTAAAATTATTATCCCTGCGATATTACTTTATGTAAAATTATTGCTACGAATATTACTACTGTATGTAAAATTCTTATCCGCTGATAATATTTCTGTACTTCAAATTTAAAGTATTGCCCAAAAATAAAAAATTATTACCCCAAAATATTACTTTATCTACGTGTACCGTTCTATAATCGCAGTCTGTGGCTTGGGATTTGTGAGCACACATCGTAATGTGGTGGTACCAGGTTTGATCCCAGTTGCAGGCGATTTGTCATCAAACCGCCTTACGTTGGTTTCAACAGGGTACCGAGAGCTGACCGTTAAGAAAGCAATGACAAACTACTGAGTGTAAATTTGCCTAGAAAACCTGCAACAGTCAGCAGATGCTGGGTTTGATTCTGTAATGTCCTTTCCAGGATATGTAACTAACTTTTTAACTGGTATAAACTGCTGCTTGTGAGAACTTCACATTTTAGTTTGTGAGAAGTGCGGGCAACAATATGAGAACAATGTCCGTTAAAAATGCTTGTGGAAGGTCAAGAAATAAAATGTGTTGGTTTGCATCTGTTAGATCAGTGATCACAGTCTCAACATTCCCTCAAGTAGGTAAGGGTTTCACCCATTTGGGTACACATTTTCCAATTTAGGTACCCATTTTTAAATTTTGGGTGTAAATTTTCCAGCTTTGGGTACAGATTTTCCAGCTTTGGGTACAGATTTTCCAGTTTTTAATACAGATTTACTTATCGGAGGTGGTTTTAATATTTTCTGTAACTCTTTGAGTCCCAGGCAGTTTAGCATCAGAGGCCAAAGTGGTAATCAACAGAGACGTAAAATCTTGCGTTCATTTGGCTTCCAGGTAGAAAGCTATGAAAGTATGATGCGTTCCTTGGGACTGAAAGAGATAAATATATTCACATTTTGCATGAGGCTTTTGAGTTTTTATGTATTACTTAAGACTTTTATATAATCATTTTTAAGTTTTCATGATTTCTTTCACTTATTTAAGGATTTGAACATTGTGGGTGTAGATTGGTAAGTTTCAGCCTTAAAGATAAATCTGGCAACACAAGCTTTAAATTGTTTCCAGACTTTAATAATCTTTGTTTTCTGGAATCTAATTATGTGTTCACCTCAACAGTTGCAATAGAATTGATATTTCAGCTCTCCAAACACACCAGTAGGTGATCTGTTTCCTTGAAAAATGTTGCCAGCATTTAAAAAAAATCAAAATTCTTTAAGATTCATTCCTCGGCATAGCTCTGCACTGATGTTGCCTTTGTATTGTTAACGTGTAGTAGCAGTTTTCTGTAAAGTGTCACCCATGTATATATTCAGTACCCCTATTTTTTTCGTTTTCTGTATAGACACGTTTGTACAGCACTGAAACACTGTTGACTGTCACTGGTCAGTCAGGGTAAATAAGAAGGTATGAAGCAT